AGACGCATAATCGACGAATGCCGCCATAATTGTCACCCATAAGCCGCCTGTGTCACGTAACGTCAATCACGCCAGCCGTCGCTTTGATCTCGCCGCCATGCGTGGTAGATTACGTCCGCCGGGCGAGACAGCAGACGGTGCGGGACGTCTTGAGTTTACCGTGTTACATCTAAAAGTAGACCCATTCATGGTTTGATTCGGCGGTGTCGGCCTGATATACAGACCAAAAGAGATCTGTAACGCGTTTCAGGCGGCATATAACGGTATATGAAGTACAACATGATTGAATAAGAGGGAGGTCGGGTAGCCTAGTGGTTAAAGCGTTCGCTCGACACGCCGAAGACCCGGGTTCGATTCCCGACATGGGTACAATGTGTGAAGCCCATTTCTGGTGTCCCCCGCCGTGATATTGCTGGAATGTTGCTGAAAGCGGCGTAAAACCATACTCACTCACTCACTCCACCGACCCAACACCATACCCGTGCTCGTGGGTTTGACCGAAGTGGTATACGTCTTAGACCTGCATCACTTTGGGCTTTCCTCCCACATTAAGCAGACACGTCGCGATATAACTGGAGTACTGTTAAAAGCGGCGTTAAAGCCAACTCACTCACTCACTCCACCGACCCAAACACACGAGAAGCGGAAGGAGACACCAAAAGAGCTCTTTTTTCTCATTTCACAAAACGTTAGGTGTTCATCCCAAAACCACAGTGCAAGACAATATGTACACAAAATATAGGTATTCCAGGTATCATTCAATCAGTTTATTCGGTAATAAGCCCTCAGGCCCACGTACAAGTTATACAATTATACAATTTCTGAAGACAGTTTACAGAAGAGTTTAACATTCTAACCAGTGTGTCTTTACGATTATTCGCTGTGCAGAGTTGCGTCCCTTGGGCACGCCAGAAACCTATGATTGTGGGTTCGATTCCCCGTTCGCCCCGATTATGTTTCTAGGTTTGTCAGTTAAAAGCTGACTTTTACTTTTTACTGTTAAAAGCGGCGTTGAACCCAACTCACTCACTCACTCACTCACTTTACGATTATTCCATATTCCAGGTATGAGCAACACTTAAAGTTTTGTCGAAAATTCTAGAAAAGAATGCTTTCTGGCTTCATTTAATAAATACGAGTCATAGGGCTATGCAAATAGCATATATCAACGTAACGCAAATTGACCTAATCTAGCCTGTCCTAACTGCCACTGTGATTACCCTTAAAATGTTCTTTTAAGGTAAAATGATGATAAACTTAGAAACTATTCGTGTTGTTATGCATGTATGAAATGGCCTATAACCTGAGGTAATTACCTAACACCTGTCCCGTGCATTCTCCCAGGTGCAAATGTCACCGAGTTGGAGATGGTCTCAAAATATTGCTGTTACATGTGCGTTGATGAGGTAGCAATTCAGGATATGTACTGCATTATATTTGCTTGGAAAAATGATGGAATAGTTGTATTTTACTGGTTTCTTATTCCCCCGAATTTTCTCTATGAGAAGAACTTTCGTTTCAGATCGTCTGAAGTTGACGTTGCAAGATGTCAGATATTCCTGCATGGTCGCCTTCAGACTACTCATGGTTGGCGCGACAGTAATAGATTCCCGACGTTGTATTATCCATGACAATGACACTGAGGTTGTTTAAAATTGGCAACAGCTGACGTTCCAATCAGTCTATGAACACATCCCCTCTTATCACCGCCTCCGTGGTCTTGTGGTAGAGCGTCCGCCCGGAGAGCGGAAGGTCCGGGGTTCGATCCCCGACCGCGTCATACCAAAAGACGTTAAAAGATGGTACTTGTTGTTACCCTGTCTGGCGCTCGGCATTAAGGGGCTAAAACAAGGACTGGTCGGCTCGGAGTCAGTATACTGTGTCTGAGTGGGGTATTCATGTTAAACTGCGGCATGGTATCTCAATCTCAATGAGTACAAGCAGCCACACAAACACACACACGTACATGCACGTCGCTATATAAGTGTAATAATCTTGGACGCGACGTTAAACCCAATTTCACCTCATTTCCTTGAAAATCACCAGTTTTCTTATTCGCCTTATGAACATGCACACATCCATTAATAAGCCCCAGATCACGGGGCCCGGAGTGCAAAACAATGACACGAGCACCTTTACCTGTTGGTACCATGGGTGCTTTTGTCCATCTGATGGTAGCCACGTGTGGTCAGTGGAATGATTCTTATTCACAGAGGTTTCATCAAGGTAAATCATCTCATTATGTGTGGTGCTGAGATGATGTGACCACACAGACAGGGTGGAATATATTCCCCTGAAAACTGCTCGGTCATCGCCACGCGCAGTGTATCGAAACCCTATCTCGTAGAGAGCAATAGTTAGTGCAGTACGGGACACATTAATTATAAGTTTAATTTCCTCCCGATTTTTACAACAAGTCAGGGGTACCTTCTGCTCATACAGCTTGTTCACTATACGCTAATCACCCAGTGTCAAAGCTGTTTCATATCCTTTTACGTCCCGGTTTTGTTTTTGAGACCACCCCTATACCCTTTTTGTTTTATTTATCATACCGTAGACTTGATGGTATGAATCGAAAACCCCATAGCTTGGGCAGTTCGGTAATTCACACTATCTAAACTAATAAATGGTTTCCCTCTGTCTCTCTCAAGTGTAAAGAACTTGTATACATTTCCTGGTACAGACTCCATGTCGTGTACCATGGTTATGGCTATGCAAGTGTAATGTAACGTGCATGGGAGCAATGTTGACAAAACAAATTAAATAAAGCATCGTTTTCTTATTTCTCCATATGATTTTTGTTTGTGGATTAGATGTTGTATGAAGACCTCAATATTATCATTTTTACGAAGTCACGCATATTTCTACAGTCCGTTTTAGACAGCCATCACTGGACTTATAAATGTGAACTTCCTGTTTTCGTTGGGTAGTTACTCGATATTTCCATAGCAACAGTCTGTGAAATACTCTATCCTATTTTAAAGGGCAAAAAGTATTTTTCTAGCATTTCCGACAGTACTTTAGATCTGGACCAAGCCTTGTTGTCTCACGACATGCCGTGACAGAAAGCAGTGACACCAACCGGCCGCTCCACGTGTTCCACGTGCTGCACGTGCTCATTACACTGTTACAAACGTCCGAGGAGATTTTAATGACGACACTGACGCCAAGCTGGCACCTAATCTGATTGAATATAAATTAATAAACGAATGTCCGTTACTCAGCATTGAGTTATCTTCAGTTGTTTGCAGCATCCTTGGACTCCCTCGCACACACACCACACACACATTCTCATTCACACATGCATACACACACACACGCGCACACACACTCTCTAAATCGAGCATTAGTCCGGATTGGCACAAGGAGCGTGCCAATGCACGTTAATGCACGTTTCACCTCAACTCTCCTCGCCTTATACTGGACCCGTAAAGACCCGGGGTAGAACAGGTCTTCAGCAACCCATGCTTGCCGTAAAAGGCGACTATGCTTGTCGTAAGAGGCGACAAACGGAATCGGGTGGTCAGGCTCGCCGACTTGGTTGATGCATGTCATCGATCCCAATTGCGTGGATTGATGCTCATGATATCAATCACTGGATTGTCTGGTCCAGACTCGATTATTTACAGACCGCCGTCATATAGCTGGAATGTTGCTGAGTGCGGCGTAAAACGACAAACAAACAAACACCTTATACTGTATTGTTTATTACTGTAAATACGGTAAACAGAAAGTGCGTCGCCAATAGACCACATCTCGCTGTGTCTGTCGCAGCACACATAGATCCTCCTTTGTACAATATTAGGATAAAAGAGACAACAGATAGTGAGCCCAGCGATCATCATTGATGTAGCTGGTCTTATCACAATAGTGTACTTTGTCTTGCAAAACAACTTCGTTTTGGTTTAGTTTCAAAACATTCAGGATTGCCACGTGACGCATTTGCTATGCATAAATACTAACGAATAATAATAATAATAATAATAAATCATATTAATATTCGCTTGAAGAAAATTGATTTTCAGCAAAAATTGATCTGTTCCTGAATTAATATACATTCAGCCATAAATTACAATTATTTTTTACTATATTTCGATTTTGTAACATCAGAGCAGATGATCGATACCCATTAACAAATCTGAACATACGTTTCAATTAAATGACATTAACAATAAAATGGAAATAACTCTCATTTCTCTCTTAAATGCGGTTATTTTATTCATGCAAATCAATAACAGTTCAGATGATGGAATGGAAGCACGGCTGTTATTCTGCAAGCCAGCTAATGAAAACCAATCTCTTCAAGAAACCTTAAGGGATTAGTTGGACCAGAGACATTAAAACTTCGCACGTGAAAAACTCGTGCAAAATGCAACGAATCGATATCTGAGGCTCCGTTTAATATTCCGGTTATCAAACATCTTACAGGGGCGGTTAATTGCCCCAGAATCGTGGAGCCAGAACCCGGGTCTCGCCACTGGATTGTCAAATTGTGTGCAAAGTAATCTATCAAAGCGTCTTTTTTTTGCCTCCCGACCGCCTTTCAGTGTTACCGAGAATTTTCTCGTGAGGACAGTGAAATCTTTCTCGCATCTTTATCAGCGTATTCGGAATAATCTGCAGTGGATGAGCTTCATTCATCATGGAGCGGGGTACTGCACACGAGGAATTTCAGTGGTAACGTGAAATCGCTTTTAATATTCGGCATGTTTCTGTTGCGTTAGAGAGTTCGTTCTATTTGTGTCATTGAGGCAGCGAATGAAACATTCCGACTAATATAAGTTGTGTGTATTATTTATATCAGTTTTATGATTATGCATGTCCTATCTAACCATCTGTATTTGAAATAAAATGAGGTTTTGATGTTTATGATCTTTTTCGCAGTTATAACGACTTTCACTGAAGACCTACACGAGGTAATTTATTTATAGAAGCGAATTACTCGCAAAGGGAGGTAATTCTTGACCTGGGAGGAACCGGACGCACTTACTAAGGTCATGCGCAGTTGTTTATTTTGATTTGGTCCCGCCATGCTAAAATGTCTGTGCCGTCAGATTTGCAAGAATTTCGTCCTTAATCTGTAATCAAGGTAATTTTGTGCATGGGTAGATATTTGCAAGATTATCATATTGAATATCTGCCACCTAATGCAAGCTATAAAAAACAACTGCTTGACCGCATGAACTGTGTCGGACGATGTCGCTTCACTGGTCATCCATCTTGATAAAGATTCATAAATTCTAGCCTGTCTGCGGATCGTACGATCTTTTACTGTTGAGACGATTATACTCGTTGTTACAGACGTTTGATTGTGTGCTTTCCCTGATATTTTTAAGACGCTGCACAATTTTATCGTCCAGGAAAGTCAATTTCTAGCAGAAGCAACCGGTGTATGCATTTGACAGGCAGTGACAAAATCGGGTCTTCCCTCAAATACTCAAATCCACTTATGCAAATACTATATTTCTTAACGTGGATTTAACAGACTTTTTTCAGGATTTGCAAATGCGTAATTGGGATAAAGTAGAATCTGACATTGACTGATTGTCATGCAACATGTCTTGAGCTTTTTATTCAAATTTGGTAAAGATTTTGAAGAATGTCAGGACTATCAAGAGTTGATAGTGTTATCAACATGTCCTAATGCCATTTCTCTCCGGTAATTTCACTGACTGCAAGAAAAAAATTCAACAAGCCTTTTTTCTGCAGCTCATATGATTATCATTATGACATCCCATTGCTGTCTGTGATGCAATTGTCGCAAGATATAAGACTATGAGGAAGGTGCCAATTTCAACCCCTCTGTTTTCCCTAATACCCGAAATACACCGTCCCATTAATTTTTAATTTTATCATTTTTTCAACTTTGGTGACTGAAAATGACATTTACTTATGAAAGCTTTTATAACAATAACTTGTGTGGGGGAAAAGCCTCCATACACCCCCTGTTAATTTAGTTAAGACGACTAAAAATGGTTGCTGAAAAACTTAGAAACCGTTACTTAGGAAAGAGCTCGCACATACCCCTTACCAAAATGGCAGAAGGTATCCAATATACTGTAATTTAGCTGTAGTAACCTCTAATCTGCTTTTGTCTAACTGATAATTATACAAATCATTATTTCAAAGTGCCTGTTACTAAGAAGTACTTTCCTAATGTACCGCCATATATCAGCTGTTTCAATCAGAGCAGATTATTGTGATTTGAAACCTCCGATTGACCAATCAGAATTGAGTAGTATCCAGGGCAGATTAATGGTAGAATTTTTTAACAGTGGTTAAACAACATGACCAGGTAGACAGACACACACAGGAATAGATCTGCTTGAATTAATATTGCTCACTTGCCCCATCAGTTTTACTTCAGATGGACCTTGTTTTAACTGTCTTTTTCCTTTTTACCATGCCTACAATTACATTTTTTCTCCTGTCACAAAATAGGCGCACACTTTGGAATGTAACTTTAAACCTACAGGCCTACCAATGAAAACCAGTAGAATGCAACCAAACCATGGAATGTGTACACACTTCAAATAGCCACACAAATTCAAACAAGACACAACCCCCAAGTGTGCATTGTAATGATTAAGCCTCGCCACTTTTTCACTGGAACAATGCTTGTCGTAAGAGGCGACCATGCTTGTCGTAAGAGGAGACCATGCTTGTCATAAGAGGCGACTAACAGGATCGGGTGGTCAGGCTCGCTGACTTGGTTGATGCATGTCATCGTATCCCAATTTCATGGATTGATGCTCATGATATCAATCATTGGCTTGTCTTGTCCAAAGTCGATTATTTACAGACTGCTGACATATAGCTGGAATGTTGCTGAGTATGGCGTTAAACAACAAACACTACTAAATTTTGCTGCTATAAACGTATCTGCAGCTAGTTTTGCCTTTTGAACATGCTCTGAAATATTGGTGGTTGAGATGTTTCTACACAATTTGTTGTACATATGTGTATCGCGATACGTACCACATCGTGACCTCTGTATCATAATAAGCATCATATGGTGATCTCCTTGTATTGTTTCAGCGTTAAACCCAACTCACTCACTCACTCACTGTATCGTTTCACCACTATTATTCAGTGCATCATCTTCTTTCAAATATAGGGGCAGTCAGGTAGCCTAGTGGTTAAAGCGTTCGCTCGTCACGCCGAAGACCCGGGTTCGATTCCCGACATGGGTACAATGTGTGAAGCTCATTTCTGGTGTCCCCCGTCGTGATATTGCTGGAATATTGCTAAAAGCGGCGTAAAACCATACTCACTCTTTCAAATATCTTATGGATAAAACTGCGGAGAAGTCGGAGAAGAATGTGACCATTGTTGCTGTTCATTACCTGTACACAGTTTCTTTGTGTTGGATACATATTACATATAATATTTGTCAGTAAATAATTGATTCTTCTATTTTCATCAGTTCATGAACTGGAAATAAAGAAACATCGCCCCAATGTTCGAAATTCTACCCTCCCTTAGGAAACCTTTAACAATGGTGAAATTGGCTTGATCTAGCAGGTTAGTGCTAATTTCTATGGGTGCTTAACGTGATCTTCTTTGTGAACAGTAAAAAGGGTGAAATATGACCGAAATAATAGTGTTAGTGAGCTGGGTTTAACACCGCTTTTAACAGTGTTCCAGTCATATCACAGCGTGTCAGCTTAATGTGGGAGGAAAGCCCGAAGTGATGCAGGTCTCAGATGTTTACCACTTCGGTGAAACCCACGAGCACGGGTATGGTGCTGACAAACCTAGAAACATAATCGGGGCGATCCCGGATTCGAACCCACAATCATTGGTTTCTGGTATGCCCAAGGGATGCAACTCTGAACAGTGAATTGTGTTGCCTTAGACGACCCATGCTCCCGACAGAAATAATAGAAGTTGGATCACTGTTGACAGAAGTCTATCTGGGTGTACAATGTTTTCTTGACTATAGTATGTGCTCAAGCATTGTACAAACTCCTCTCCAGGGAACACAGTATTTGGGAAACAGTGATTGTTTGAGTATTATTTATGTGCCGGATGTCAGATACAGCATCTGTTGCTACAATATGTTCTCACTCAGTAGTGAGGATGCCATTGCCTTACTTTATGGCACTGTTGCCTTGACTACATCCAGCTGTGACAGTAATGGCCAGATTCTAGTACTTTCCACCAGGAATAATTTTGAGGTGCAATTCTTCAAAATTAGTGCATTTCATTCCCAAATCATGCATTGGGATGCCTCCATGCTCTAGTCCGGAGAGCGGAAGGTTTTGAGTTTGACTCACAGCCGCATCATAGCAAAAGACAAAAGATGGTACTTGTTGTTACCTTGCCGAGAGCTCAGTACTTGGGGACTGAAACAAGGTCTGGGTGGCTCCGAGTCAGTATACTGTGCCAGAGTGGGGTATTCATGTTAAACTGCAGCGTGGTATCTCTGTGTGGCAGCACTGTTTAATTGGCATTTGTTCGAACTAGTACGCGCACACACACGCATGCATGCATGTCACTATAGTAGTGCAAAAATCATGAACGCGTCATTATCGTTGCCAGTTTGACTCCCACACCGGCTCCCAGACTCCTCTGAATGTTGTCCCTGTGCTGACTGGTTTCAATGTGGGTCATCAATCATTCCCTACCTCGTCTTCAGTGAGTTTTGAGAACGTTTGTTCTTCATTGGATCACGGATTCCGATGATTTCTACCGCTCCCTGATGATCGGCTACATTCTGACTCCTTGCTTTTCCTGTGGAAGTTCCGGCACAAATGGTCCGTCTATGGTTGTTAGTGCTCCCAAACTTGATGGTTATTTGGCGTCCCTTTGGCCCAAGCGTTTAATAACTTCTTTGGGAGAGAGAGTGTTGGCGTCGGCAGCTCAACTACCACTGTAAAGTCCTGAGTGGGAAATAAAGTTCATTTTGTGGCTGAAAAGTTGCGATTGATTTTCAACATGAATACGTTCAGGGCTCTGTTTCCAGAATATCCGCCACATTTCTGTAAGACGTCCCTCGCTATTCTCCGTACAATTATCCGTCCAGGTGACTACATGGTTAGTCTCATCCTCCAAGAGGCGTATCTGCCTGTTCCTGTACCTGTCCTACCGCCATTTCCTTCATTTTCCAGGGCTGCCACTAGCCTACCGCCTTCACTGGATTGCCTCCTCCTTTGACATCCAATCAACTATCTACGTGAGATCTCAAGTCACCAGTGCCGATAGATTAAACTATGTACAGTCAAGTCCCGTTAATCTGACATCGATGGTTGCATATGATTATGTCGAATTAACGAGTATGTTGGATGAACGAAATTAAGTAGTATCACATAATAAAAAAAATAAAAAATAAATATTCATATTGTAATGTTACATTGAATATGTTTTCTTATCATGCAACCTCTATTAAAGTATACCACAAAACAACTGTTACATACTGTATGACTTATTCAAAATAGGGGGCACAAGTGGCCCAGTGGTCTAAGGCGTCGCGATTCGCTGTGCAGAGTTGCGTCCCTTGGGCACGCCAGGAACCTATGATTGTGGGTTCGAATACCGGTTCGCCCCAATTATGTTTCTAGGTTTGTCAGCACCATACCCGTGCTCGTGGGTTTCACCGAAGTTGTAAACGTCTTAGACCTGCATCCCTTTGGGCTTTCCTCCCACATCAAGCTGACACGCCGTGATACAACTGGAATACTGTTAAAAGCGGCGCGAGCACTCACTCACTTATTCAAAATACTTTAAAAAGCATAGTCTTGAATGTAAGTCGCAAGTTTAAACTGGTACTGCAAAGCTTAAGATAGCTACTTTCTAAGTGGCTAACGTTGACTTCCTGTTAGTCATTTCATTGGTAGGTCATAGTTCGCGAAAGGTTGTTCTGACGTGACCTGTTATGGGATGTCCTTGGCGATAGTGAGAACTTGTATCTGATTTTAATGAGATTGAGGTAATCTAAGCATGTGATTAATCCTGTTTTCTTTATTTAAAGCATTAATTGTTTATTGTTAAGCAAGTTTATCTCTGCAGCCGTTGTAATATGCAGCTACCAGCCGATTTGTCTCGCATCAAAACATGGGCTGTGTACTCGCAGGCAGATGACCACGGAGTACGCTGATCACTGTGTCGGATTAACAAGACTGATTAATGAGTGATTTCAGTATTTCGTTGCAAATTACGTGTGTCGGAGTCGGAGTGCGAGACTGCCTGATTAACAGGTCTAAATAGGTTGTTATTCTGAATCCTTACCGCTCACCTCTGCTTTGGGCATATGCAGCCTGGCATTAGTTTGAAGATCCTCTTGTAGATATTGCCGATCATTCTTATTCTCGAGTTAGTATGCTGCAATCCCTCAGGTGTGATAGATACATTTCACGAAGCGTTAGAAGAGATGCCAAGCTGACGCACCTGTTGTCCAGGGGAGACAGTGGTGATGCCTGTCTTGTAGAATTGATTGGCTTCAGACCCCTTCCTGATCGATTAAGTCGTATGCTGTATAGATAGCTTTTTGCAGCTACACGGTCGTTCATGTAACGATGTCAAGCATGTCATACCCGATTTTATGCTGTAACGTTTAGGGATCATAGCACCTGTTATGTTGTGTTTTCCCGCTCATGAGTCCTTGTCTTTTAACACTAGGCAGTGTTATGGATCATCTATTTATCTCACTGTTTAGCACCAGCTTCCTGTGTATGTTTCACACTTGTAGTTTACTACAGGTCGAGAAGCCTAGTGGTTAAAGCGTTCGCTCGTCACGCCAAAGACCTGGGTTCGATTTCCGACATGGGTACAATGTGTGAAGCCCATTTGTGGTGTCCCCCGTCGGGATATTGCTGGAATATTCCTAAAAGCGGCGTAAAAACCATACTCACTCACTCACTACTACAGGCAGGGGTGTCTGCACCCCCATCCATCCATGGGATAAATGCATAGTGTCAGGGAGAATAAGTTAAAAAAAAAAATTACAATAAATTCAGCATTAGAAATTGGCACTAGTCCGATAGTCCTTGCCAAACTGCCCAGTGGTAAAGGTATCATGAGGACTAGTAGAAATTTGCCCTTTTTAAGGGCTTTGCAATATGTTATCATTATAAGGACTAGTAGACGAAATTGTATTTTTTTATACTTATCCCATGCAATATGCCCTCCCGACCATCCCTACATCACAGGTCCTCAAGCCTTTTAGCTCTGAGAAAGACGATAACTTGGCAGGAATAATCATGATAGGTCGTGTAGGTTGCGATGCAAAGCATTACAATGCATGACCCATTTGCTTGGTTGATGACAGGGGTCCGGAAGATTTAAAATCCCAATCGGACATTTGCATTTAGGCCACGCCCCCTTCAAATAACATATTTTAGTACGTCTTTTCAAGTTGTTACGTATTCATAATATGATGAATTTTGAATTGTTGAAATTTAAATTGTTTATTTGGCCGGACAATTAATAACAAATAATATCATTTTAAAATTACATGGAAAACATATGTTTATTTCTGTTATAAAAACGATCTGTTAACATAGTGAACAGTCTAATTAATATTCATGAGTTGTATCTGCTCAAGTTTATGCGTTGTAACATTTGGATCGAGACTATATCCCATATTTGGTTATCACGTGACCTCACAGGAAAAGATTTTTTTTTAAACTAAAGATTTTTTAAAAACAAGACTTTTTGATCATGGTGATGCTGGGATGTGTTTTGGGAATTGTTTTTAGTAGCTGGAACATAGGATCAAAAGGAGAAGGAAGAAGTGTGTAGTGTGTAATAGGAATAATATGAAACCATTCAATTTAATGCCAAAATGTACAATTTTAATGTAAGGTAAGATGCATGTCAGTGTGTCTGGGTTCGAAATAAACATTTAAGTCTACTTGTCATGTAGACGAAGACTTCAAGGACCAGTGACACACATGGGGATGTAACGTGAATACTTTTCAAAACAGATTTGAACTCAACTCATTCATTAACACGATACATTGTTGCATCGATGTGATGATACGATACACAATACTTTTTTAGCTGTATCGATACAAGACTATATACTTACCTACCAAAATACATTACTTACTAGCTGTGTGATGCCCGCCCCCCCACCGTGTTTTTTGTCAGGCACATATCGCAAAATATGTTGTAATTAAAGTTTCAAGTTCATTACTGAAAATAGCCTTTTGAACCTGCTCTAAAATATTGATGGTCAAGAAGTTTCCATGCAATTTGATGTAAATATGTGTATTGCAATACGTATCATATCGTGACCTATGTGCCAAAGAAAACATATCGTATCATGACCATACTGTATCACATCAGCCTTATACACAGCTAAGCTGCATGCCTGTGTAAAATATGCAAATACATTTTCCATCACCCAATTAAGTTAAAGCTGTATGTGTACAAATATGCATGAAAAATATAGAAATCCTATAGTGTAACAACAATGCGGAAGTCGCCATTTCAGCTTGCGTTACTGTAATTCCTCTGGACTGGTGTTCAAAAGTCTAATTTCTAAGTTTCTTTTTGTGTTTTTACGATGTGAGCTGTTTCTTCCAGATCGTCTCCTCCTCAAGATGAGTATGGTAGGCCTGTCTACACAAGCGCCCACGTCGGCTGATGCATGTCTCAGCATCGTCCATAGTCTGATGTGCCATCGCCAGGGTGGGGAGAGCGAGAGTTTCGGGAAACGAGCCATTGAGAGTCTGGTGAAGAAGCTGAAGGAGAAGCGGGATGAGTTGGACAGTCTCATCACGGCCATCACAACGAACGGGGCACACCCCACCAAGTGTGTCACTATACAGAGAACGCTGGATGGCCGATTGCAGGTACGGATAGAGCCGGGGGTCAGGTCATGTTACTTGGTTAGTTGACAGGTACGGGGAGACTATATGGAGCTGGTGGTCAGGCTGTTACTTGGTTACTTGACAGGTACGGGGAGACTATATGGAGCCGGTGGTCAGGTCCTGTTACTTGGTTGGTTGACAGTAGGTACGGGGAGACTATATGGAGCTGGTGGTCAGGCCCTGTTACTTGGTTGGTTGACAGTAGGTACGGGGAGACTATATGGAGCCGGTGGTCAGGTCCTGTTACTTGGTTGGTTGACAGTAGGTATGGGGAGACTATATGGAGCCGATGTTCAGGTCCTGTTACTTGGTTGGTTGACAGTAGGTACAGGGAGACTATATGGAGCTGGTGGTCAGGCTCGGTTACTTGGTTGGTTGACAGTAGGTACGGTGAGACTATATGGAGCCGGTGTTCAGGCCCTGTTACTTGGTTGGTTGACAGTAGGTATGGGGAGACTATATGGAGCCGATGTTCAGGTCCTGTTACTTGGTTGGTTGACAGTAGGTATGAGGAGACTATATGGAGCCGATGTTCAGGTCCTGTTACTTGGTTGGTTGACAGTAGGTATGGGGAGACTATATGGAGCCCGGTGGTCAGGCCCTGTTACTTGGTTGGTTGATAGTAGGTACAGGGAGACTATATGGAGCCGATGGTCAGGCCCTGTTACTTGGTTGGTTGACAGTAGGTACGAGGAGACTATATGGAGCCAGTGGTCAGGCCCTGTGACTTGGTTGGTTGACAGTAGGTATGAGGAGACTATATGGAGCGGGTGGTCAGGCCCTGTTACCTGGTTGGTTGATAGTAGGTACGGTGAGACTATATGGAGCTGGTGGTCAGGCCCTGTTACTTGGTTGGTTGACAGTAGGTACGGTGAGACTATATGGAGCCGGTGGTCAGGCCCTGTTACTTGGTTGGTTGACAGTAGGTATGAGGAGACTATATGGAGCTGGTGGTCAGGCCCTGTAACTTGGTTGGTTGACAGCAAGTGGGGAGACTATATGGAGCCGATGGTCAGGCCCTGTAACTTGGTTGGTTGACAGTAGGTACGGGGAGACTATATGGAGCTGGTGGTCAGGCCCTGTAACTTGGTTGGTTGACAGTAGGTATGAGGAGACTATATGGAGCCGGTGGTCAGGCCCTGTTACTTGGTTGGTTGATAGTAGGTACGGTGAGACTATATGGAGCTGGTGGTCAGGCCCTGTTACTTGGTTGGTTGACAGTAGGTACAGTGAGACTATATGGAGCCGGTGGTCAGGCCCTGTTACTTGGTTGGTTGACAGTAGGTATGAGGAGACTATATGGAGCTGGTGGTCAGGCCCTGTAACTTGGTTGGTTGACAGCAAGTGGGGAGACTATATGGAGCCGATGGTCAGGCCCTGTAACTTGGTTGGTTGACAGTAGGTATGGGGAGACTATATGGAGCCGATGGTCAGGCCCTGTTACTTGGTTGGTTGACAGTAGGTACGGGGAGACTATATGGAGCTGGTGGTCAGGCCCTGTAACTTGGTTGGTTGACAGTAGGTACGGGGAGACTATATGGAGCTGGTGGTCAGGCCCTGTAACTTGGTTGGTTGACAGTAGGTACGGGGAGACTATATGGAGCTGGTGGTCAGGCCCTGTAACTTGGTTGGTTGACAGCAGGTACGGGGAGACTATATGGAGCCGATGGTCAGGCCCTGTTACTTGGTTGGTTGACAGTAGGTACGGGGAGACTATATGGAGCCAGTGTTCAGGCCCTGTTACTTGGTTGGTTGACAGCAGGTACGGGGAGACTATATGGAGCCGGTGGTCAGGCCCTGTTACTTGGTTAGTTGACAGTAGTCAGGGGAGACTATATGGAGCCGGTGGTCAGGCCCTGTAACTTGGTTGGTTGGCAGCAGGTACGGGGAGACTATATGGAGCCGGTGGTCAGGCCCTGTTACTTGGTTGGTTGACAACAGGTACGGGGAGACTATATGGAGCCGGTGGTCAGGCCCTGCAACTTGGTTGGTTGACAGCAGGTACGGGGAGACTATATGGAGCCGGTGGTCAGGCCCTGCAACTTGGTTGGTTGACAGCAGGTACGGGGAGACTATATGGAGCCGGTGGTCAGGCCTTGTTACTTGGTTAGTTGACAGTAGGTACGGGGAGACTTTATGGAGCCGGTGGTCAGGCCCTGTAACTTGGTTGGTTGACAGTATGTACGGGGAGACTATATGGAGCCGGTGGTCAGGCCCTGTTACTTGGTTGGTTGACAGCAGGTACGGGGAGACTATATGGCGCCGGTGGTCAGGCCCTGTTACTTGGTTGGTAGTAGGTACAGGGAGACTATATGGAGCTGGTGGTCAGGCTTGGTTACTTGGTTGGTTGACAGTAGGTACGGGGAGGCTATATGGAGCGGGTGGTCAGGCTTGGTTACTTGGTTGGTTGACAGTAGGTACGGGGAGGCTATAGCGAGCCGGTGGTCAGGCCCTGTTACTTGGTTGGTTGACAGTAGGTACGGGGAGACTATATGGAGCCGATGGTCAGGCCCTGTTACTTGGTTGGTTGACAGTAGGTACGGGGAGACTATATGGAGCCGGTGTTCAGGCCCTGTTATCTGGTTGGTTGACAGTAGGTACAGGGAGACTATATGGAGCCGGTGGTCAGGCCCTGTTACCTGGTTGGTTGACAGTAGGTACGGGGAGACTATATGGAGCCGGTGGTCAGGTCCTGTTACTTGGTTGGTTGACAGTAGGCAGGGGAGACTATATGGAGCCGATGGTCAGGCCCTGTTACCTGGTTGGTTGACAGTAGGTACAGGGAGACTATATGGAGCCGGTGGTCAGGCCCTGTTATCTGGTTGGTTGACAGTAGGCAGGGGAGACTATATGGAGCCGGTGGTCAGGCCCTGTTACCTGGTTGGTTGACAGTAGGTACGGGGAGACTATATGGAGCCGGTGGTCAGGTCCTCTTACTTGGTTGGTTGACAGTAGGTACAGGGAGACTATATGGAGCCGATGGTCAGGCCCTGTTACTTTGTTGGTTGACAGTAGGTATGGGGAGACTATATGGAGCCGATGTTCAGGTCCTGTTACTTGGTTGGTTGACAGTAGGTATGGGGAGACTATATGGCGCCGGTGGTCAGGCCCTGTTACCTGGTTGGTTGACAGTATGTACGGGGAGACTATATGGCACCGGTGGTCAGGCCCTGTAACTTGGTTGGTTGACAGTAGGTACGGGGAGACTATATGGAGCCGGTGGTCAGGCTTGGTTACTTGGTTGGTTGACAGTAGGTACGGAGAGGCTATATGGAGCCGGTGGTCAGGCCCTGTTACTTGGTTGGTTGACAGCAGGTACGGGGAGACTATATGGAGCCGGTGGTCAGGTCCTGTTACTTGGTTGGTTGACAGTAGGTACGGGGAGACTATATTGAGCCGGTGGTCATGGGTTGGTAATTTGGTTGACAGGTACAAGGAGACTGAATGGAGCTGTCATCAAGTATCGTTCTTATGGATGTTATTGTTTTCTGAGCAGTGACTTGCATCATTGATAACTGAACCAAGGAAAAAGGAGAGGCTTTAATGTTTAGTTTTCCATGACTGCATTTGATGAATCATCAGTGACCACTGAATTTACAAAAATTAGGACTTTTTAGGTTTTTCCAAATTTATAGGTTTTTCCACATTTAGTTTTGAATCCAAGATGAATCCTGGGCTGCCCCAAAATACACGGTGTCGCTGAATTAAACAATAAGGGTGTGCGAAATTAACGGTATATCGGTAAATTCAGGTACATTTTCTTTCCGTGATATGTATCACAACATAATTTTTCTATGCTCGATTTATCGGGTGATTTCAAATTTTATGATGTTTTTAATGTTATATCGGAACTTCCCAAATTCCTTCGCTGCCTCACAGCATGCATCCAGGGCCCCAAAATGGCTGCGTAAACATTATGATGTACAAGCATCTTGTTTTGTTCCATTTATGAACTTCAGTTCATACCTTAATTGTTTAGTGTATCAGATTGCTTCTGAATTCAAAATTATACGATATATCGTGATATGTGTCACAATAGGTCCTTGTGGATCACAAAATATTGTGATACTCTTTAAACCTCTAATACCCATCCCTCTCAAACAGCAACATACATCCAACCCCTCTCTTCATCTCAGGTGGCTGGGAGGAAAGGGTTTCCGCATGTGATCTACGCCCGCATCTGGCGTTGGCCTGACCTCCATAAGAACGAGCTGAAGCATGTGAAGTTTTGTCAGTACGCCTTCGACCTCAAGCAGGACAGTGTGTGTGTGAACCCTTACCACTACGAGAGGGTCGTCGCTCCAGGAATAGGTAATTATTACATTAGATAGTGAGAGTTATGCTGATGACCAGTGAAGATCCGGGATAGAATAGGTCTTCAGTAACCCATGCCTAAAGGGCCACTATGCTTGTCGTAAGAGGCGACTTACAGGATCGGGTGGTCAGGCTTGCTGACTTGGTTGATGCATGTCATCGATCCCAATTGTGTGGATCGATGCTCATGATGTCAATCACTGGATTGTCTGGTCCAGACTCGATTATTTACAGACCGCCTTCATATATCTGGAATATTGCTGTGGTGTTAAACAACAAACAAACAAACAAAAAGTTATGTTGAATCATCTCAGTGTTGTTCAACCCCATATCACAAGAGCATATGACGAGAAGGTCAGTGGTTTGATCTCATTATCTCTGCATTATACCAAACAATGTTAAGACGTGGTACTTGTTGTTACCCTGCCTGCTGCTTGGCTTTGAGGGGCTAAAATGAGGACTGGCCGGCTGTCGTAACTCCCATACCTTAACATCGACTTACGACATTCGTATTTAATTTGTTTTTTACAACAGCACCTTGCTCTACAAAACCAGCATAAGCCTGGACGAGTACAAGCAGAAACACACATGCATTTGCGCACGCTTATGCACATGAAAACACATGCACATGCACATTGCTGTATTGATTTTTATATTTAAGGGGAGGGAGGGGGGTGGTCAGGTAGCCTAGTGGTTAAAGTGTTCGCTCATCACGCCTAAGATCCGGGTTCGATTCCCGACATGGGTACAATGTGTGAAGCCCATTTCTAGTGTTTCCCCCCCCCCCCCCCACCCCACCGTGATATTGCTGGAATATTGCTAAAAGCTGTGCATAACCTCACTCACTCACTCACTCACTCACTCACTCATATTTTTGAAAGTATTTGCAAATACCTTTGTATATTTAGTCTTTGAATCAAGCTGACAGTTTGTTCATGTTGTTTCAGATCTGTCAGGGCTGACGCTACAGCATGCAGGTGAGTACTCATCCAAGGACCAGTACTCCGCCTTAGTGCTGCGTGAGTACACGTTGTTGACATACGGTGTTGTCTCCCCTTGCCCAGTACTTAGTGCTGCGTGAGTACACGTTGTTGACATACGGTGTTGTCTCCCCTTGCCAAGTATTTAGTGCTGCGTGAGTACACGTTATGACATACAGTGTTGTCTCCCCTTGCCCAGTACTTAGTGCTGCGTGAGTACACGTTGTTGACATACGGTGTTGTCTCCCCTTGCCAAGTATTTAGTGCTGCGTGAGTACATGTTATGACATACAGTGTTGTCTCCCCTTGCCCAGTACTTAGTGCTGTGTGAGTACACGTTATGACATATAGTGTTGTCTCCCCTTGCCCAGTACTTTGTGCTGTGTGAGTACACGTTATGACATACAGTGTTGTCTCCCCTTGCCCAGTACTTCGTGCTGCGTGAGTACACGTTGTTGACATACAGTTTCTCCCCTTGCCCAGTACTTCGTGAGTACACGTTGTTGACATACAGTGTTGTCTCCCCTTGCCCAGTACTTAGTGCTGCGTGAGGACACGTTGTTGACATACAGTGTTGTCTCTTCTTGCCAAGTACTTCGTGAGTACAAGTTGTTGACATACGGTGTTGTCTCTTCTCGCCAAGTACTTCGTGAGTACAAGTTGTTGACATACAGTGTTGTCTCCTCTCGCCAAGTACTTCGTGAGTACAAGTTGTTGACATACGGTGTTGTCTCCTCTCGCCAAGTACTTCGTGAGTACAAGTTGTTGACATACAGTGTTGTCTCCCCTTGCCAAGTACTTAGTGCTGCGTGAGGACACGTTGTTGACATACAGTGTTGTCTCTTCTTGCCAAGTACTTCGTGAGTACAAGTTGTTGACATACGGTGTTGTCTCCTCTCGCCAAGTACTTCGTGAGTACAAGTTGTTGACATACAGTGTTGTCTCCCCTTGCCCAGTACTTCGTGAGTACAAGTTGTTGACATACAGTGTTGTCTCCCCTTGCCCAGTACTTCGTGAGTACAAGTTGTTGACATACAGTGTTGTCTCCCCTTGCCCAGTACTTCGTGAGTACACGTTGTTGACATACAGTGTTGTCTCCCCTTGCCCAGTACTTAGTGCTGAGTGAGTACACGTTGTTGACATACAGTGTTGTCTCCCCTTGCCCAGTACTTCGTGAGTACAAGTTGTTGACATACAGTGTTGTCTCTTCTTGCCAAGTACTTCGTGAGTACATGTTGTTGACATACAGTGTTGTCTCTTCTTGCCCAGTACTTCGTGAGTACAAGTTGTTGACATACAGTGTTGTCTCCCCTTGCCCAGTACTTCGTGAGTACAAGTTGTTGACATACGGTGTTGTCTCCTCTCGCCAAGTACTTCGTGAGTACACGTTGTTGACATACAGTGTTGTCTCTTCTTGCCCAGTACTTCGTGAGTACAAGTTGTTGACATACAGTGTTGTCTCCCCTTGCCCAGTACTTCGTGAGTACAAGTTGTTGACATACGGTGTTGTCTCCTCTCGCCAAGTACTTCGTGAGTACACGTTGTTGACATACAGTGTTGTCTCCCCTTGTCCAGTACTTCGTGAGTACAAGTTGTTGACATACAGTGTTGTCTCTTCTTGCCCAGTACTTCGTGAGTACACGTTGTTGACATACGGTGTTGTCTCCCCTTGCCCAGTACTTAGTGCTGCGTGAGGACACGTTGTTGACATACAGTGTTGTCTCCTCTCGCCAAGTACTTCGTGAGTACAAGTTGTTGACATACAGTGTTGTCTTCCCTTGCCCAGTACTTCGTGAGTACACTTTGTTGCAAACGGTGTTGTCTCCCCTTGCCCAGTACTTAGTGCTGCGTGAGTACACGTTGTTGACATACGGTGTTGTCTCCCCTTGCCCAGTACTTAGTGAGTACACGTTGTTGACATACAGTGTTGTCTCCCCTTGCCCAGTACTTCGTGAGTACAAGTTGTTGACATACGGTGTTGTCTCCCCTTGCCCAGTACTTAGTGCTGCGTGAGGACACGTTGTTGATATACAGTGTTGTCTCCTCTCGCCAAGTACTTCGTGAGTACAAGTTGTTGACATACAGTGTTGTCTTCCCTTGCCCAGTACTTCGTGAGTACACTTTGTTGCAAACGGTGTTGTCTCCCCTTGCCCAGTACTTAGTGCTGCGTGAGTACACGTTGTTGACATACGGTGTTGTCTCCCCTTGCCCAGTACTTAGTGAGTACACGTTGTTGACATACAGTGTTGTCTCCCCTTGCCCAGTACTTCGTGAGTACACGTTGTTGACATACAGTGTTGTCTTCCCTTGCCCAGTACTTAGTGCTGCAGAGTACACGTTGTTGACATACAGTGTTGTCTCCCCTTGCCCAGTACTTCGTGAGTACACGTTGTTGACATACAGTGTTGTCTCCCCTTGCCCAGTACTTCGTGAGTACACGTTGTTGACATACAGTGTTGTCTCCCCTTGCCCAGTACTTCGTGAGTACACGTTGTTGACATACAGTGTTGTCTTCCCTTGCCCAGTACTTAGTGCTGCAGAGTACACGTTGTTGACATACAGTGTTGTCGTCCCTTGCCTACTACTTGGTGTGGCATGGCTTCACGTCCCTCAGATCATACCTTGTTGTCTCCCCTTGCCCAGTACTTGGTGTGGCATGGCTTCACGTCCTTCAGATCCTACATTGTTGTCTCCCCTTGCCCTGAACTTGGTGCAGCATGGCTTCACGTCCCTGAGATCATACAGTGTTGTCTTCCCTTGCCCAGTACTTGGTGTGGCATGGCTTCACGTCCCTGAGATCATACAGTGTTGTCTTCCCTTGCCCAGTACTTGGTGTGGCATGGCTTCACGTCCCTGAGATCATACAGTGTTGTCTTCCCTTGCCCAGTACTTGGTGTGGCATGGCTTCACGTCCCTGAGATCCTACAGTGTTGTCTCCCCTTGCCCTGAACTTGGTGCAGCATGGCTTCAAGTCCCTCAGATCCTACAGTGTTGTCTCCCCTTGCCCAGTACTTAGTGCTGCGTGAGTACACGTTGTTGACATACTGTGTTGTCTCCCCTTGCCCAGTACTTCGTGAGTACACGTTGTTGACATACAGTGTTGTCTCCCCTTGCCCAGTACTTCGTGAGTACACGTTGTTGACATACAGTGTTGTCTCCCCTTGCCCAGTACTTCGTGAGTACACGTTGTTGACATACAGTGTTGTCTCCCCTTGCCCAGTACTTCGTGAGTACACGTTGTTGACATACAGTGTTGTCTCCCCTTGCCCAGTACTTCGTGACTACACGTTGTTGACATACAGTGTTGTCTCCCCTTGCCCAGTACTTAGTGCTGAGTGAGTACACGTTGTTGACATACGGTGTTGTCTCCCCTTGCCCAGTACTTAGTGCTGCGTGAGTACACGTTGTTGACATACAGTGTTGTCTCCCCTTGCCCAGTACTTAGTGCTGCGTGAGTACACGTTGTTGACATGCGGTGTTGTCTCCCCTTGCCCAGTACTTAGTGCTGCGTGAGTACACGTTGTTGACATACAGTGTTGTCTTCCCTTGCCCAGTACTTAGTGCTGCGTGAGTACACGTTGTTGACATACAGTGTTGTCTCCCCTTGCCAAGTACTTAGTGCTGCGTGAGTACACGTTGTTGACATACAGTGTTGTCTCTTCTTGCCCAGTACTTCGTGAGTACACGTTGTTGACATACGGTGTTGTCTCCCCTTGCCCAGTACTTAGTGCTGCGTGAGTACACCTTGTTGACAAACGGTGTTGTCTCCCCTTGCCCAGTACTTAGTGCTGCGTGAGTACACGTTGTTGACATACAGTGTTGTCTCCCCTTGCCCAGTACTTAGTGCTGCGTGAGTACACGTTGTTGACATACAGTGTTGTCTCCCCTTGCCCAGTACTTAGTGCTGCGTGAGTACACGTTGTTGACATACAGTGTTGTCTCCCCTTGCCCAGTACTTAGTGCTGCGTGAGTACACGTTGTTGACATAGTGTTGTCTCCCCTTGCCCAGTACTTCGTGAGTAAACGTTGTTGACATACAGTGTTGTCTCCCCTTGCCAAGTTCTTAGTGCTGCGTGAGTACACGTTGTTGACATACAGAGTTGTCTCTTCTTGCCCAGTACTTGGTGTGGCATGGCTTCACGTCCCTCAGATCATACATTGTTGTCTCCCCTTGCCCAGTACTTGGTGTGGCATGGCTTCACGTCCCTCAGATCATACGGTGTTGTCTCCCCTTGCCCAGTACTTGGTGTGGCATGGCTTCACGTCCCTTAAATCATACATTGTTGTCTCCCCTTGCCCAGTACTTGGTGTGGCATGGCTTCACGTCCCTCAGATCATACAGAGTTGTCTCCCCTTGCCCAGTACTTGGTGTGGCATGGCTTCAAGTCCCTCAGATCATACAGTGTTGTCTCCCCTTGCCCAGTACTTGGTGTGGCATGGCTTCACGTCCCTTAGATCATACATTGTTGTCTCCCCTTGCCCAGTATTTGGCGTGGCATGGCTTCACGTCCCTCAGATCATACAGAGTTGTCTCCCCTTGCCCAGTACTTGGTGTGGCATGGCTTCACGTCCCTTAGATCATACATTGTTGTCTCCCCTTGCCCAGTACTTGGCGTGGCATGGCTTCAAGTCCCAGAGATCATACAGTGTTGTCTCCCCTTGCCCTGAACTTGGTCCAGCATGGCTTCAAGTCCCTCAGATCATACAGTGTTGTCTTTTCTTACCCAGCTGGAGTCTGTTTTGTCATCATTAGTCCAGCTAGTGTCATCTTTAGAATCTTAGAAATAGAAATATGTATTGCTTGTTCCTCTTTACACTTTTGGAACATTTAGTTTCTTTGTATTTTAACTAAGATATGTCCCAAAGAAGGAGATTTTACTCAATTATAAATACTTCATGTATTATTTACTGAAGCAAGATCAAACATTTTAATGGCCTGAATTTTGGTCCAAATTATAATTCAGTGCCCAGTGGTCATGTAATAAGTGCTACCTGGAAACTTCTAGTATTAAATTAAAGTTGGTCCTTAAAGTACTGCTGAAGAAGCTTTCAATTCCCATTGGTGTAAAAGCCCATGGTGTTGCAATATTTAGTTTTTTCTGAAATTGACCCCTGTTCAGACTGATAGATTCAAAACTGTTTGTCACAGTTAGTTTTGAAGGAATTTAATGTTCCGACATCAAACTTTTGAGCTGCTCCCTAGTGAGACAAAAAAAGAGTTTGATGGAAGTGGGAATCATTCATAAGCCGACCCCTTTCTCCAGAATTTTTTTTCTGGTCCTCAAAATTTGGCTTATCTACGGTCATATAAATGTATACGGTAGACATTGTTCTTGGCAACACTTGCAAGGTTGCATGGGTGACACTTATGATAATGTTTAGGGAATGAGTTCAAATGTACCAAGACAAAAGTTTCCAGGAGTTTTTCTGACATTTAAGGATGAGCTTGCCTATTGCCAAGCTGACTTTTTTTTTAGGAAAACTTTAGTTTTGATTTTTCTTGTTGCAGTTCCAATCATCCTTTTTAATTAATTATAGCCATAATTATGTTGTTGATCACATTAAAAATTTGCAAGTGTAAGACAGGAAATAGATTTGATGTCATCAATTTGAACATGTCTTATAATTTTCATACGAATATGAATGTGTGGAGTGTGGATGAATACATCTTCCCGAGGCAAGAGAGTTAACTGACTTTAAAAGTCCAGCTTCCACCCTTGCCGAACTAGGCTGGAATAACTGGGCTCAATTGTAGCACCACCAGTGGCTGTTACGAGTTAAGTCCCTTCTCTGCCTCTCCTATGGACCAATCAGATTCCACCTCTCGCATCACTTGCGTTTGCTTCACACAAAATTGCGGCGCCCAGTCAAGACGTTCTGGTCGACAATCAAGATCTGTATTGTGAGAAAACGGGTCTTACATCACGAAGTGCATCAAATCACGCGAGCACCTCGATTAAAAACTTGAAAAGATTTGGAAAATATCTGTTGACAACGAGGCGGTGCACATGCTGTGCAAATCCTGCAATCGACCGAAATCTGCCTGACAGTTCACGAACCGGGTTTCAATTTCGTTACGCAATTTGATTGGACTGTGCATAGACTCGTTAGTCCAGCCAAAATGTAACTCCATAATACCAGCCTAGTTCGGCAAGGATGGAAACTGGACTTTTATAGTCAGTTAACTCCCTTGCCTCGGGAAGATGGGATGAATGTTAAGTGACTTATGTGTTGTGGCCAGAAGTAATGTCAAGTTATCGTGACTTCCTTAAATAAAACAATCTGGCCATTACTGAACTCTTCAGGCCCTCAGTTAAAAAGATGCAGCTTATTGCAACAAATAAATCGTCATGTACATTTTATGCAGGCCATAAGGACACATACAAATTTGCAACTACCGGCCCTACATGAGTTCAACCTGCCACGGTCTTACAGGCCGGCGCTTATTTCAAACACTTGTTATATCGCTATGGAGTTATTGCTTGGTCTGAGGAAGATCTCACACAAGCAATATCTCCCGTGGAAGCCAGTTTTGAATGATAATGTCACAGAGCTTCAGATAACTTTTTGAGCAATTGAGTTTTAACTCTAGGGTTTGTGTTTTGATTGAGTTATTACATTTTTCATTGGGTAACCAGTATTTTTTCACTCATATATTCATAACTCTATTTCCCCCCAAAGAGCAATCATTTTAAGATTTAAGAAAAGTGTTTTAGATACATATAACCATGATTACTTTTCTAAATATATAGGCTTGACTCGGAAAGTTATTTAGCTCGTAATTGTGTTTCGGAAATTAGCCCCTTTGTACGCATCCTGAAAAATCTTCATTGAGTATTTACGTGTGCTGTTTTTATACATTTGAGTTTTTCATTTAATGCATGCGTTTCTGTACACAAGTTGATTGAAAGTAATTGGGTTTTGAATTGGTGGGTGCCGTATTCGAAGTAATAAGCGCCCAGGGCGCTCTCAAAAATAGAAAAAGGGGCTCATATTAGATCATAGTTTTGGTAAGAAAAAAAAACAGAGTTGAAAGATCGTTAATATTGTGGTTTATGCTGACAGCTTAATATGATACAAAAGAAAAGTCTGTGCGTATTATACACGACAGATATATTTTTCAGAATTTATATGCCCATAATTAATGGTGCATATAAAACACGAGTGCGTATTATGCACAAATAAATAAGTCTTGTGTACATCGATCAATCGTAAGGGGTGCTAATTGTGATTGTTCACTAGCCAATATATCATCACTGTGGGCGCTTATTAGAGCAGGGCGCTTATTACGTCGAATACAGTATTTTACCAAAATACGCAGCTTATCTGTAGCTCTGTGTCATTAATGGTTTATGTGACCTATTTCCCAGGTCCCCCTGGCCGCCTGGTGAAGGACGAGTACGGAGGCGAGATACAGATGGACAGAGCCTCCACATCATCTGACGGCAACCAGACAGTTCAACATCCACCCTCTGAAGGCTTCAATAGGCTTATAGTTGGCGAGTGTTTCTCTGGTAGAACAATTGTCTTGTCTCACATGGGTTTGAGGGGTGTTTAATCAGAACAAATGACCTGTATTTAGGAAGTGTAGTGATTTCATACAGTATACAGGGTAACAGATCTTAGGATTCAGTTTTCTTTAAGAATGTCTGATTGTTTATCGGAATGTTTGGGCGGCTACATGCTGACTTTGATTCTTCTCATTCAGGGTTATTCTTTTTGAGCTTTGGGGATTGGTTTTCGGTGGAGAAGTTTAGAGATGGGTTAACCTGGATTTCAGGACCCTTTGGTTGTCATCAAACTGAAATAAACTTGTTTTGGGGTGTGAATTATATTGTTGGAAAACATGACCATTTCCTTGTCCAGGAGAGACTTGTGGTTTTGTTTTCTGTGAAACGATTAGTGGAGGTCGGGCTCGTTTTACACAGCAATCTGGCTACGACTGTCATGTCGGTGTACAGGTGTATGAGTTCTGACAACCATGCTGCTATGATTGCCTTGGGAAAAGAGCCCTGGGATGGAGGACGTGTTAGTTTCTAAAGGTGTGTAGTGAGAGGGTGTTTGGTGATGTCGGGTCTCAGCTAGGATATTGACCACTACAGGGAAAGAAGAAACATTTGCTTTTGGACATACTCAGTGATGCCACTTTACGATTTTTGTGGTATCCTAAAGATTTAATGATAATAATTTTTGAATTTTGTTAAAAAATATCACCAGAAATTTACAGGTTATTGACATTGTAGTCAATGTACGAGCACCAGTGGTGAATGATCACTTTGTGATGGGAAGGCTAACAAATTTCGATGAGTTTGGTGACAAGTGAAACTGCAACAGATGATTATCAGAGCTCCAGATAAGCTTTTGGTGTTGTGGGTATTTTACCCATGCATTTTAAAATCATTGGGTATCAGTAATTCTATCTGCGTATTCAAATTTCCGTTACCCACTAGTTTTTACACATGTGGGTATTTAAGTTAAATATTTAAAAACACTATTCATCTAGTCCCTGCAAACTGGTGTCGTGTGGGTTCGAGAGCTTTATAGGACTCAAAAATACCACGATACTTCCACAAGAAAGTGTGATGGCAAATGATCATGATGTAACTGTCATCGTGGAGTTTGGCAAGGTTGACGGAATGTCCGTTTATAATTTAAAAATAAGTTGCTGATTTGCTAATCGAATACGCAGGGTTACTTAACAATATTTTGATGATACGCACAAGTTTTATTTTTGTAGCGTATCTGTAATGTTCGTTGCGTATTTGATACGCTTGGATTATATTTTACTGTGTATTTCTGCATTTCTGATGCGTATTTCACGCAGATACGCAGCTTATCTGGAGCTCTGTGATTATATTTATCAAAACCAATCAGGAGTGAGATTAGTTGTGTTGACTCTATTTTCTTTTCTTAAGTCACTAATTGGGTGGATCGCCTCCGTGGTCTAGTGGTAGAGCATCCGCCTGGAGAGCGGAAGGTCCGGGGTTTGATCCCCGGCCGCGTCATACCAAAAGACGTTAAAAGATGGTACTTGTTGTTACCCTGTCTGGCGCTCAGCATTAAGGGACTAAAACAAGGACTGGTCGGCTCGGAGTCAGTATACCGTGTCTGAGTGGGGTATTCATGTTAACTGCGGCATGGAATCTCAGTGGGCTAGCACTTTAAATCGGTATCAGCCCGGACAAGTACAAGAAGCCACACACACGTGCATGCATGTCGCTATAAGTGCAATACGCGACGTTTAAACCCTATTTCACCTCACTCCCACTACATTTGGCGATCCCAGAAGCTATTGTGCGTGGCACCTTAATCCATTTAGACCTAATAGTGACTGAATTGTGTGTCTGGTATAGTATACTATTAGGGAAATCAGAAGGGTGTAAGATTCTAAGGCAAAAGGACCCGTGAAGATCCAGGGTAGAATAGATCTTCAGCAACCCATGCTTGCCGTAAAAGGCAACTATGCTTGTCGTAAGAGGCAACGAAATAGCTCAGATGGTCAGACTTGGTGACTTGGTTGATTGTATGTCATAGTATCCCAATTGGGTAGGCTGATGCTCATGACATCAATCACTGCATTGTGTGGTCCAGACACAAATATTTACAGACCACCATCATATAGCGTTTAGATTTATTTTCATTCCGCCTATGTGGACTAGGTTACAAAATATAAGCTACTTGAATATGTACAGAGTATGGAAACAAACGTATTTTCACCGAAAAAACAAGCAATTCTTCACTTCTCTGTATGTTCTTTTTTACAACTGATTTTTCAAGTTTTAATTTTTGTCACATACCGACCGTAGCATGGTATAGACTGGATTATGTTGCCAAGTTATTAAGAGATATTGTTGAAATGGCTGCTTGAGATTGTGGCAGGTCATGACGTCATCGTCGTCGCTTTGGTAAGTTGCTGTCAACCGTGGCTGCGTGTCAAATTTAGTTGTATAGTCCTTGAATGACTTGGTCTTTGTTGTTGGTACTGTCCAATGTAAAAATATCTGTCCATATCTCGTCAATTATTGAATCACTTCGTTTTAGATTCTTTTTAAATATGAGTTTGATATTGATATATATGATTGTTGTCAGTTTTATTTGTGGTTGTATAAATGTGGTAAAATTCAGATTTATTTTTTTTGTGGTAAAATTGTTTGATATATAGAATGCAGTTGTCTCTGTCAATCAATGCACTGTCTTGCAGATGAATGAACATGTCTTGTGTTTGCACTGCTAGGGGGTGCTGAGTAAGAAGCATTATCAAAGATTAACCAAATTTCTTTCCAAATTTGATTTTGAAAAAGAAGTGCTAAAAAAACAAAAGCATTGTTATGTTACTGTTTGTTAAAGTTCAATCATCTTGATAAGGAGATTGAAAGTAACACCTTTCCCTATAATATAAACTGAACAAAAAATGTTAGGATTATGATTATTTTGGGGGATATTGTTTTGTAGTGAAGACTAAGCACACAATTTCATATTCCACATAAACAAATATTTCGTGATCCCTAACTTTTTTTGTTTAGTATATATCATAGACTGTTAAAAAATTGATGAAGGTGCAAGTATCTGTATCGAACCATCACATTAGAATGAAAAAGAAGATAAAATTCATGGGAAGTCAATCCTGTCTTCATTTATACCTTTTGCTAATTAAGAAGATATACAAATTTTCTGAGAAAGCATAATGATTTTCAGTGTTTCTCTTCAACATTTGCCTTGAAACTCAGCACCTCTTATCTCGGTGTCAATGATTTCTCCCTCACCGGACACATGCCTATACTGACTGGTCCCTCCAGGTCAAGGGTCACCGGCCCCTCCAACAACAGTCCAGCACCAGCAGCCTACCAGTGTCCCCTCAGCGACGCCCTTGGGTCCGGGGGCAGGGGGCGTGTCCCTCCAACACCCCCTCTCCCCCCAACCCCTCTCCCCCTCCCAACCGCCGGCCGCGCCTCCGCAGCCGCAACCACCGTCACAACCCACGTCAGCCCCGCCCGGTGTGGAGCTGACCCAAGCTAGTGAGTTGCCTGTTCTGTAGTGTGACACATCACCCTTGTAGCGGGAGGATCATGCTGTCTGACTTTGTCACACTGGAATCTTAGCTTCACTGTGCCGTTGCTGTCTTTGTTTCAGTAGGCATATCGCCTGCTATTGATTGCTTCTGCCATTCAGCGATAAGCTGGTATAGATTTTTAAACTGTTTTTTTAATAAGTTGAAACTACTGACGTTGCCACAATTGCTTTTTTGATCCATTGATGTAGTGTATACCTTACCTGACCCTACTCAGTGCTATGGGTGTAGTGTCAGGTAAGTATAAAAATATTGCATTTAATCAGAAATACTCATGTTTTACCTTACCAGACACTACACCTATAGCACTGTGCAGTGTCAGGAAAAGTGTAATAACATTGCATTTAATCAGAAATGCTCATGTTTTACCTCACCTGACGCTACACCTGTAACACTGTGCAGTGTCAGGAAAAGTGTAATAACATTGCATTTAATCAGAAAAGCTCATTTTTTACCCTACCTGACACTACACCTATAGTCATTGTGTAGTGTCAGTTAAGTATAAAAACATTGCATTTAATATAAAATGTTCATTTTTATCATTAACATTATCCATTTTAAAACTTTATTATTGGATCGTAACTCCCATAGTTAAACATAGACTTACGGCAGTCTTAGCGCTAAGATCGCTTTGTGGAACAGGACCAAGGTCACAGCTGCTTTTGCAATCCTTCAATATAGCTGGTGTCGATTTTAAAGATGTTAATTAATTAACATTACTGAGTCTGTTACAGAAAATTTCTTTTGCCATCAGCTAATAGAAGTCCTGTGCAATTCAACAAAATCTTACAATATGGCTGAAATATTGCCGATGTGACGTAAAGCATTAACTCACTCACTCACTCAACAAAATCTTAAGTCACAAATGAGACAATATTTGATACATTTTGCAACTTGAGCCACAAATCTGAGGCCTGATTCTGATATGAGTTTAACAAGCATGACATACTCATATTCCCTGCCAATATGACATGTCCGGTTGTGTGCAAGACATTAGCCCTGTGAACTAAGTCAAAGTCGTTCCCATGGAAAATAATTTTTTCAAAAATCCTAACTATCAGAAGGCTCCAGTTTACCACTAGACCTATCTATGTGCCATGTTTGGTTAAGATATCTTTCATGGTTTTGACTTCTGCTCCAGAAACGAAACATGACGGATGAACGGACAGCACCCATTCCTATACCCCCCTCCCACTTCGTGACTGGGATCATTTTGCACTCTATTCAGTGTAGAAACTTATGTTTTCCCACTGTAGGGAAGACCGGGAAAGAATTGGTCTTCAGCAACCCATGCTGGTCCTAGGATGACTCTCTGACTTGGTTGATGCATGTCATCGTATCCCAAAGCGTGGATCAATGCTCATGATGTCAATCACTGGATCTTATCGTCCAGACTCAGTTATTTACAGACCGGTGTCATATTCCTGAAATAACGAGGAGAGCGGCGTTAAACAACAAACAAACAAACAAACCCACTTCAGGAAGTTAACCTGGAATAATGATGACAGGCACACCCTACAAAAAGTTAGAAATTCTATCAGTCCTTGGGATATTTAACATTACAGAAACTGGCTTAGGCTAGCTGTCTGGTGCGGGTGTCTAGTGCTAGTGTCTGGTGCCAGTGACTGGGGCCAGTTTCTGGTGCTAGTGTATAGTGCCAGTTTCTGGTGCCAGTGTCTAGTGCCAGTGCTTTGGGCCAGTGTCTGGTGCCAGTGTCTGGAGCCAGTGTCTGGTGCCAGTGCCTGGTACAGGTGTCTGGTGCCAGTGCTTTGGGCCACTGTCTGGTGCCAGTGCCTGGTACAGGTGTCTTGTGCCAGTGTCTGGTGCCAGTGTCTGGTGCCGGTGCTTGGTACAGGTGTCTGGTGCCAGTGCTTTGGGCCACTGTCTGGTGCCAGTGCCTGGTACAGGTGTCTTGTGCCAGTGTCTGGTGCCGGTGTCTTGTGCCAGTGTCTGGTGCCAGTGCCTGGTACAGGTGTCTTGTGCCGGTGTCTGGTGCCGGTGTCTTGTGCCCGTGTCTGGTGCCAGTGCTTTGGGCCACTGTCTGGTGCCAGTGCCTGGTACAGGTGTCTTGTGCCAGTGTCTGGTGCCGGTGTCTTGTGCCAGTGTCTGGTGCCAGTGCCTGGTACAGGTGTCTTGTGCCGGTGTCTGGTGCCGGTGTCTTGTGCCCGTGTCTGGTGCCAGTGCCTGGTGCTTGCGTCTGACACTGAACAAACCACCAGTATTCACTTAATACCAAACAAAATAACAAAATATCATGAGCCACCAAACTAAAAATTATTTTTTTAAATAGTTCATTTAGCCAACCTAAGATTATTGGTTGGCAAAAATTGATAAGCCTTTAAATTGTGGCAGTGGTCTTCATTTTAAAACTGTTTTAAAATTCCCTGCTTGATTTCAAGTACGACCAGTGCTGTGTGTCTATATATATATTTGATGAAACGGCTCAGTGTGCATGCCTTGTGAGATTCCAGTGTGACATGCAGACATCTTCCATGTGGAATGTTGACAATATTCTTGTATCGATAACCATGCTTACTAACTCTGCTCAAAATGAATATCTGGGTCTTAAATTTCAAACATTCCATAAATTTCCCAAAATGGTCTGTTCTTTAGATAATTACGAAAGCATTCATTTGAGCAGCCTTGACTTGTGCTTGCTGCTTGATCGGTTGCATTGCTTCTGTGATTCACTTAATATCTTCATTGCAATTATTTTCTTCAGTTTGTGTTAAAGCTTGACTTTCAGACCATGACACAGACTGATACCTCTTCATACCTAGCCAGCGCTTCACGTTCCCTTGTCCATCTCTGAAAGCCCACATGCTAGACCATCTCTTGGTTCTACACATTCTGTTGACCATCTGCTTACTCTCTACGATAGACCATTCCCAGATACTCCACATTCTTTAGACCATCTCTTGGCTCTGCACATTCTGCAGACATCTCCTGATTCCATGTTCTATAGACCTTTCCCTGACACTCCACATTCTGTAGACCATATCTTGGCTATGCACATTCTGTAGACCATATCTTGACTCTCCACATTCTGTAGACCATCTCTTGGTTCCACATCTGTAGACCTTTCCCTGACGTTCCACATCTGTAGACCATATCTTGGCTATGCACATTGTGTAGACCATATCTTGGCTATGCACATTCTGTAGACCATCTCTTGGCTATGCACATTGTGTAGACCATATCTTGGCTATGCACATTGTGTAGACCATCTCTTGGCTATGCACATTCTGTAGACCATCTCTTGGCTATGCACATTGTGTAGACCATATCTTGGCTCTGCACATTCTGTAGACCATTTCATGGCTCTGCACATTCTGTAGACCATTTCATGGCTCTGCACATTCTGTAGACCATCTCTTGACTCTTGACGCTCCCCATTCTCTAAGCCACCATCCTCGCTTAAACAGTCCATCTCTCTGTACACATCCTCAATCCCTTAAACCCTTGCTCTTTCTACTCCCCACATCCCCAAATCCCTCAAACCCTTGCACGTTCTACTCCCCACATCCCCAAATCCCTCAAAGCCTTGCACGTTCTACTCCCCACATCCCCAAATCCTTCAAACCCTTGCTCTTTCTACTCCCCACATCCCCAAATCCCTCAAACCCTTGCTCTTTCTACTCCCCACATCCCCAAATCCTTCAAACCCTTGCTCTTTCTACTCCCCACATCCCCAAATCCCTCAAACCCTTGCACGTTCTACTCCCCACATCCCCAAATCCCTCAAACCCTTGTACTTTCTACTCCCCACATCCCCAAATCCCTCAAACCCTTGCACTTTCTACTCCCCACATCCCCAAATCCCTCAAACCCTTGCTCTTTCTACTCCCCACATCCCCAAATCCTTCAAACCCTTGCTCTTTCTACTCCCCACATCCCCAAATCCCTCAAACCCTTGCACGTTCTACTCCCCACATCCCCAAATCCCTCAAACCCTTGTACTTTCTACTCCCCACATCCCCAAATCCCTCAAACCCTTGCACTTTCTACTCCCCACATCCCCAAATCCCTCAAACCCTTGCTCTTTCTACTCCCCACATCCCCAAATCCTTCAAACCCTTGCTCTTTCTACTCCCCACATCCCCAAATCCCTCAAACCCTTGCACGTTCTACTCCCCACATCCCCAAATCCCTCAAACCCTTGTACTTTCTACTCCCCACACCCCCTAATCCCTCAAACCCTTGCTCTTTCTACTCCCCACATCCCCAAATCCCTCAAACCCTTGCACGTTCTACTCCCCACATCCCCACATCCCTCAAACCCTTGCACTTTCTACTCCCCACGTCCCTCAAACCCTTGCACTTTCTACTCCCCACATCCCCAAATCCCTCAAACCCTTGCACTTTCTACTCCCCACGTCCCTCAAACCCTTGCACTTTCTACTCCCCACATCCCTCAAACCCTTGCACGTTCTACTCCCCACATCCCCAAATCCCTCAAACCCTTGCTCTCTCTACTCCCCACATCCCTCAAACCCTTGCACTTTCTACTCCCGACATCCCCAAATCCCTCAAACCCTTGCACTTTCTACTCCCGACATCCCCAAATCCTTCAAACCCTTGCTCTTTCTACTCCCCACATCCCCAAATCCTTCAAACCCTTGCACGTTCTACTCCCCACATCCCCAAATCCCTCAAACCCTTGCACTTTCTACTCCCCACGTCCCTCAAACCCTTGCACTTTCTACTCCCCACATCCCTCAAACCCTTGCACGTTCTACTCCCCACATCCCCAAATCCCTCAAACCCTTGCTCTCTCTACTCCCCACATCCCTCAAACCCTTGCACTTTCTACTCCCGACATCCCCAAATCCCTCAAACCCTTGCACTTTCTACTCCCGACATCCCCAAATCCTTCAAACCCTTGCTCTTTCTACTCCCCACATCCCCAAATCCCTCAAACCCTTGCACGTTCTACTCCCCACATCC